CACCTCCAGTAGGTGACGATGCAGAAATGGGGCAGGCAAGGTAACTTCTTTTTGCAACTCTTTGAAAAGGGAAAAGGATTCAGTTAGTGATTGCAAATGCAAGTTCTGCCATGTGTTTTGAGTTGTTATGAAATATATTAAAACACGTTGACAACAAATGTATTTCAGAGTTTATTAGGAGAGGTCCGTAACACAAAGCACAAAGGAGGACAGACCTGCTACTCCGTGAGGCCGGCCTGAGATGCCGCTCTTGTTTTTCAGAGCGCTGAGGAGCAGTGCAGAGTTCAAGCTTGCCCTCCCCCCAACCTGGGAAACATTCATGCCTGGGATGAAAATAAACCCCGCATGGAAATCCCATGATTCCAGAATTGGTGGAACACGTTTCAAACACACATATTTAAAAATACTTATGTTCTCATTTGGCCTTCATGAGTGATTACTGACATTTACAATCGCATCTACTGTCACAGAACAAGGCCTTCATACAATCTAACTCAAACTTAAGCCAAATGTGCAAAAGGAGCTTCAGCCCAGGGGAACAGCAGGCAAAATCTGCTGAAAGGAAGCACTTGCCCCCTTGCAGATAAGAGAAACAATGTGAGAAGGGAATTCCAGAGTTTCTTCCTAAAATAGATGGGCATTATCTCCAAGCACAGACCAAAACACAACTCATTTTTAAAAAGCACTTCAGTGAGTATTAGTTCCGGAATTTGGAATGGAATGAGGTACCAGATTATTGAATATGTGGAGAATTTTCATTACTATCCTCTTCTTTTTCGGTTGACGAACTCCACAAACCACACAGATCTAAGCAGTGGGTTTTGCAGCCAGATAGGGACAGATGTTTTCAGGGATCATATCTCAGATTCCCATGCTACAGCTATTGTTTAAGGTGATGGAAATATGTAGGGGACATTACACCATTCTGCAGCTGCTAGAAAGCAATGCTTTCCTGTTTTCCTGATTTAGACAATGGAGAAGGTAAGAAGAAAAATAATAGGAAAAGATTTTCCTATATCTGCTTTAAAAAACTGCATTATTTTGAATTCAGTACATGTTTTTGTCAAATCTCATCTCTGTTTTCTTAGATTTCACAGAAATATTTATGAGAAAGAGGGTTGGAATAAATGTAGAAATGGTCAAATCCATGTTCTTCGAAGATTGTTTGGTGATAAAACTCCAGGTCCATCACAAGATGCTCTGAACGGGACTCACGATTAGAACATATGAGAACAGCAACACGAGAGTGTGTGCTTCAGAGAGAAACTCATTCCCGACTCGGTCCTCCTGCACGATGCACAGGAGCACACACACACACACACACACACACACAACTCTTTATTCCACTTTTGGCCTGATCATAGGGAAGATGTTAAGGGGAGCCTTTCCAAAGCGTTGCTAGTTTGTCACTAAGAACACTCAGGGCTAGAGACGCCCCGCAAGCCCTGGCAGTGACTGCAGCCCATCCTTCCGTCAGAACCGGGTTAATTCACCCACTTAGTGTGCTGGGGAAACGCCAGGCGGACGTGCAGCGCCACAATGTCACGATGATGAGGATCAGGCAGGTGGGCACCCGAAAGCAACAGCAGGCTGGCTGCTTTTGCCTCGAGGCCATGCTGTAGAGCAGTGGTGGGTTCATCCTGCAAAGGGCGCTCAACGAGTCAGCACTGCAGGGCCCTTTTCAAATAACTGCCCCACCCTTGGTTTTCACTCCTCAGCCTCCCTGCGGGGCAGCTGCCCTCCTGCATCAGGGCTTCTCCAAACAACACACAAGAACAAAGAGCAGCCATTGTCCTTGAAATCCAGGAATGGGCATAGTGGCTGCATGTTTAGGGAGACGTCTTCCCGTTAAATTATCTGACTGGGGGGATGGGGGGGGTGAGTTTGTCCCAAATATAGTTTTTCATGAATCTCCTAGAATTATTGAACTACGGGAAATTCCTTTTGGATGGAAGTCTCCATTGCCTTTGAGCCTTTTGCCAAGTGGAGCCTGCTCCCTGTCCCATCGCCCCGGCTGTTCTGCTGCTCAGCCTGTCAGGAACAGAACGGCACCTGGTCTGCCCCTGCCCAGCCCAGGGACATGATTGGAGGAGTCTGCACATGGCAGAGCCTGCTCTCCCGTGCTCCATCCTGTCCATTTCTCTTGCTGTGTCACCGCCAAGCCACTTGGGGCCCCTCTGGATAAACGGATGGTTTGTCAATGGCTGTGCGGTCTGTGGGCATTTGTCTATCCACTGTTGTGACCCCAGAGCTCCCCAACGCAAGGATTTGCATACCTCAGACAGACTGGTGGTGGTATTAGATGGGAGAAGAAAGCATCTGTTTGAGGCCAGTGGTTTTCATCAGACTCACTGCCTGAGGTCATCCTGTTCGGGGATCTCGGCCACTGGTGAGCAGCGGCCGGGAGAGAAGGTAGGGCTTATTTGCCCGCGAAGGGGCTTACTCTGCTGGAGGGGGTTTTGAGAAACTATTATTCATCAACCCATTGCTGCCCTTGTGGGTTCCACAGCAGGGATCCGTGATCTCCCCTGTCGGGGATGGGGCTGTGTATTCCCACCCACAGAAGAATTCGAACACAGAGACCAGAAAATGGGCTAAAGAAATTGAACACTGTGAAAACGAGAGGGCGTGTGGGTGACCTCAGCCAATTCAAGGCCCGAAGCAGGGCTTATGGGAAGCCTGGAACAGGTCTGTCTCCTTCACCCCAGAGGATGAGGGTCAGAACCGGAAGGCCCAGGGGACTCTGTCCTGCATTCCTTTCCCGGAGGTGCAGATACTGGTCAGCAACACATCTGGCCAATCTCTAAAATCATCTGAATGGCCAAATGCTTGGTTCCCCTACAGCAGACTGCCAAAGTCCTGGGGCCAGTGGAACAGCCTTTGTCTCTTTTGAGTGGTAAACATCAGTATTCCAAGTGAAAACTGAAGAATATTGGATGACTTTAGATAGCAGAAGTTCCAAATATCCTGCTAGGCTCCACAAAGCCTCCATCTTTCCTCCCCTCCTCCCTCCCGCCCCCTTTAGTTTCCCGTTTTCTTAAAAACAAATCTGAACGATAGCATCTATATTTCTAAATTGGCAGAAGGATATTTACTTGGCTCTAAAGGCCATGCGCCTGGCGGCTATGCCCACACAGGGTGTGACCTCCGGGACACATGCATTGCTAAGGCAAAGCCAGAAACAGTGGAGCGCCTTCCTTCTGAGGGGCAGTTTGGAATCCGAGGAAGGAAGCGCATTCCCTCTGTCCATTCTGCCCAGTGGCAGCAGAAGCCCCCAGGCGCCCCGAGGCCTCCCAGTGCTGCTCAGGCAGCTCCCAACAACTCTGACCTTTGGTGACTCCCAGGCTGCTTTCCAGGGACCCAGGCAGAGCGATGCGGGAAGAGCACCATCGACTGCGCGTCGTAAGGGGAAATCTTTACAAGAGAGCGCTTAAAAATGAGGATATAAATTAAAACTGCTTTGAATAGATTTTGCAGGTGCCGAATATTTTAGTTCTTCTCTTTCTCCCTTCCCTCTCCCCTATGTTTTTCAGGAAATAAGAAGAGGACACAAGTTCCTGAAGCGGCACAGGACAGCCTCCCGCACGACCAGCCCGACTTGGCGTGTGGTTCGGCCACAGAGCAGGATCAGGTTCTCAGGACCGACCGTGAACTGTGCTAAAATGCCTTATGAGGACAGCTTTCAAAGCTCAGCACGCTGTATCCCTCTCACGTCCTTTAGAAACAGTCAGAAGGAGAGACTTGTCAGTGCTGCCTCCACGTCCAGTCAGAGCGGCGTGCTGTAAGGCAGGGTGTTGCGCTGCGCTGGCTCAGAGACAGGTGTCCTTGACTTTTTCCCTCGTGAGTGTTCATCTCATCGATACTCAAGTGAGTACTAACATCAGTACACTTCTGAAACAGACCCCTGGCCTCTCTCTCCAGCCCTGTAGGTGACTTGTTTTCAAAAACACTTTAAACTCACCTCATACAACTTTTCCCGTATTTTTTAAGACTTCTCTTGCAAATAAACCCAAGACTAATAGAAACTTAAGAACTAGAAAATGTGATTTCTAAAATTCCTGCCTCCTTGCTACCTAAGTAGCTCAGTGGACTTCTAGTCATCCTGGAGGATTTCAATGACTTGGCACTCGGCAGCGCTGGTGATGGGAGAATGGAGAATGCATGAATCCAAATGTAAGGAGATGCTTCCAATCCTGAACATGTTCCCTTTGACCAGAAAAAGAGCTTCTTATAGAATTAAACAATTAACCGACTTAGTCTCTGTTATACTAAGAGGGACAAATCCTTTAGGTCCTAATTAGCATTAGCAGATCATCTTTCCTCTTGGACGATCAAGTGAGCAGAGAAGCAGTTCAAAGGGGCCCAGTAGCCCCTGACTTGTAATGCCCTGATCCAGAATCAGGCAGAAAAACAAAACCAGTCACATTTGAATTGGAAAAGGGAGAGTGAGTGAGAATTGTTAACAGTCACAAAATTCCCACAAAGGCATCCCAACCCATGGCTTCCACGTCAGGAGAGCCACAGTCCCGTAGAGAATACCTGCACCTTCCCAGCTGCCAGGCTTTTAGGAGAAGGGTTACAACTGTTTGCTAGGATTCCAGTCCAGTCTTTCGGAGGGATGTGGCTCCCCACTGCCGACGGGGCACATAAAGCTCTGAGGACGGTGGCTGCCAACTGCCAGCGTCTCTGGGGCCACCTCACCTTCAGCAGTCTGTCCCTGGTGTTGGACTATGGGAAACAAAAGATGACAGCATTGGGAGCTGCTGCGACTGCCATGCAAATCTAGACCCAGGAGAGACCACATGCACCCACGCTGCAGGCAGGGCTGCTGCCCTGGGAGAGCTTGAGCAAGCTCCGGGCTGGCAGTAGAGTTGGGGTTTACGGTCCAACGTGGACAGCGGCTGCCCCTTGCCCTCTGCCTGCTTTGTGCCGCAGTCATTGCCCTCCCGCCTCCTGTGCTCGCCCACCCTCCCGCCCCTCTGGGCGATCTCCAGCCTCATTTACCTGTACTGATTCTCCATGGCCCTGCTCTCGGCTCGCTCGGGAACCCAGGCGTAGCTGTCGGTCGCACTCTGGGGCTTTTTCTCCTTTATCTCCTCCCTCTTTGCTCTCCGTTTGCGATAGACCAGGAGCCCGAGAGCCAGAGCCAGCAAGAGTAGGATGGCCACCACAGTGCCCAGGATGTAGAACAAGAGCAGCTTTTGCCCGTCGGTGCCATCATCGCTTTGTTTGGCCACAAAATCCCCACCCATGGACTCCCTATGGCCAGTGGTGGCTGAGGGGTGATGGGTGCTGGGCTCCATCCAGACGCCAGGGGGCCCACTGGGGGCCAGCGTCTTGGGTGGAGCAGGAGTAATGGGGGCATCGGGTGGGAGGGAGGGTCTGCTCACAGTGGGAGCCACCTTGGAGGTGCCCTCAGGGTCCCTGGTTGGACTGGACATTGTGGCAGAAGGCACAAGGTTCCCCTCTTTATCACCCGTGCCATCGCCCTGAGGAGGCCCAGCTGGTGGTCCCAGGGTCGTAGCGCCCATGGTGCAGGAGACTCCATCAGGAGCCAGTTCCCAGCCTGGCAGGCAGCCGCAGCGGAAGGACCCCTGCACGTTGAAGCACAAGCTATCACAAACGCGGCCCTCACACTCGTCCACGTCCTTGCACTGGGTGCCGTCGTCCCCAGCCAGGACATAGCCCTCCTCGCAGGAGCAGAAGAACGAGCCATCGGTGTTGGTGCAGCCCTGGGCACAGGGTGAGCGGCCTGGGGCACACTCGTCCATGTCCCGACAGGCCCCTTCTCCGGCGCCCCCGGGCTCGTAGCCCACCCAGCACTGGCAGTGGAAGCCCCCAGGGGTGTTGACACATTCCTGGGCGCAGGGGGAGTCCTGGCACTCGTCCACATCCACACAGTCCTGCTGAGTCGAGTCTAGCTGGTAGCCTGGGGGGCAGCGGCACATGTAGTTTTTCCCAAGGGGTCCAGGAACGCATGTGGCTGCCCCTCCGCACGGGCTGGAGCTGCAAGGGTTCCGGGAGGCGCAGGTCACCAGGTCATCCAGCAGCCGGAACCCCGGCCGGCAGCCGCAGCGGAAGGAGCCGTCCCCCCCCTCAAAGCAGTCCTGCTGGCAGCCCCCGTTGTTGAAGTCGCAGCCGTATTTGGGGCTGACACAGAGGGGGCCCGAGCTGCCCCAGTCGAACACATCGGGGGCCTTCTCCTTGCACAGGAAGTAATGATGCCCACTTTCGCGCCCGTCCCCACAGGCCACGTTGGCCACGGAGGCGAAGGGCACGGCGTCCAGGGAGGAGCTGGTGGCCTGGAAGGGGGTGGTATAGTTCACATGGCCTGGGCCCCCAAGGGCCAGGGGCCGGCACATGCCTTTGAAGCTGAACTTGCACACAAAGCCCTCGATGTTGCTTCCAGGAGAGCTGGGGCTCCCACAGGGGCCCTCAGCCCACTTTGGGAGGTGGCCGGTGAGAGGTGTCAGGGACAGGTCCAGCACCAGGGACACACAGCGCTTGGAGATGCACGAGTGCTTGAGCTCCTTGTACCAGTTGGCGTAAGACGTGTTCTCCCCACCGCCCATCCAGCTGAAGCCCTTCAGCGGCAGGCTGGGGTCCAAGCACTTGCCCTTCTCTCGCTGGAGCCCGATCCAGAACTTGCCTGTCCGAGCTGCTGGGGGTGCCTCCAGCTGTAGGAGCTGGGCCAGGGCTCGCTGGACGTGCCGGGCCTCCTCCTCAGTCTTCACCGTGGCCAGGTTGCCCCCGTTCCTGCTGCAATGATTCTGGGCCTCGCCCGCACTCAGCTTGTTCCAGTGGGCCGTGTAGCAGGCAGTCCCTGCGCAGACCGCAGCCTCCCTCTCAGCGCCGGCCCCCAGCCACCGCTGGCCCAGGAGCAGCAGCAGCAGCAGCCTGGTGGAGGTGGCCATCGTGGTCTCCGTGTCCCCCGCAGCGGGAGGCTGGAAGCCTGGCGGTGACAGTGGTGGCCCCAGCCGAGCTCGGAGGGGAGCTGAGGGCTCAGCAGCAGTCGCTCTGGCAGAGGAAAGGACACAGAGGCTGATGGCTTTCCACGTCCCCCTGACCCAAGGCGCATCCTGTGCTGTTGTACTTCTTATATCTCACCGGATACTGGGGCTTCCTGCAGTGAATAGTTTTCTGACTCCTGTTGCCTTCATCACGGTTTTGTTGTTCATAAAAGGGATCAGGCGGCTTTGCTGGGTCCTGGCTAAGTGCTGAGGAAATGCAGCGGTGCGGGCAGACGGCAGGGCTCAGAGACACTGTCTGCTGGGTTTGGGCTCCATTCTCCTTCCCATCTGCGTGCGGAACCTAATGGCATGCCACAGAGTGAGTAGACACTCACTAGGAACTTGAAACTTGAAAAAGGAACTAGAAACTTGAAATTTGAAAAAGGAACTAGGAACTTGAAAAAGCTCACATAGTAACCCGTAATAAAATTCCACTTTGGTTTGCAAACAACCAGAAGAGGAAAAAAAAAATCCTCAGACTTGAGACATGAGGCCTCGGATGGCTATAATTTTCAGCCTTTTTTAGAAGCAAACTGGATCTTTCTTTTGCCTATCTCATGTTCCCTTTGGCTTTGGGAGTCTTTTTTCTTTTATTCCCCTCATCATGAACTTTAAATAGATAGGCAGTTTTTAAATAGGAACTGGGCCGTGGGAACGTCTGAGTTTCTAACACAATGCCAAGCTGCTTGAGAACATTAAAATAAATTGGGTGAAATTTGGCAGTTTTCAGGGTTTCACAATACAAATATTGTGCTGTGAGGTGGCAGCATCACAAAAAGCATCAGAAAGAAAAAATGAAAATGCTTCTGGCCTCATGGCCTCGGGGTTGGCACGCCCTCCTCCCCTGGCTCCTGGTTCCCAGGGAGGGCCCGAGTTCTGGGCCCAGAACGAGAATCCAGGCCTGGGCCAGCCTTCCCCACGGCAACTCGTCAAAGGCCCTTGAATCAAAGGGTTCTCTTCCTGCAGTCAGACGTGTTTTGCTCATAGGGCTGTCTTTGGTTGGTTCCCCAAAAGTAGACCCTGAGACAAGGATTTGGGGCAGGTGAGGGGAACTGCAACAGCTTTTTTGGGCAGGGAACTGAAACAGCGGTGGAAGAGGCCAACACAGGGAGGCGCTGGGGCGCCTGGGGCTCCGCTCCGTGGGACACTGGGAGACTCTGGGCCCGTGTTAGAGTCTTCCCCGCTGAGGAGAGGGGCGGACAGTTCTCCTCCAGCTCCCCTCCCCACTGGTGGTGGCAACTCCTCGGCACTCTGGGAGGGAACACTCAGGTGGAGAATTGCGGGGGCCTGCCAAGGGCCTGTGGCGTGGCACCGGCATCTGCAACATTGGCTCTCCACAGAGATTGAGTTAGGGTGTCATGGGGGTTAGGAACTCGGGGGCTTTCAGCCTCCACAAAGGATAAGGTGCCCAACTCAGACTCCAGTTGGAGACCCCTCAGAGACGTTCCTTATGTCTTTCTTATTTTAGTAAGATATCTGAGATAGTCTAGGGACCCTCTTTCAGAACGCACAAGATCCTCCCTATGCTCCTTGGTGCCTGTGGAGATCCATCCATCCATCATCCATCCACCCATCCAAAGTTAATTAAGCCCCTCCTATGCACTGGGCTCGGCACTGGGACTCTAGGAGGGAACCCCTGCCTTCATGACCCTTGAAGTCTGTTAGAGTAGACAGATTTGAACACATTGAACAGTGGCAGCTGTGACAGGTGCCCCAGGGAGAAGTTCAGGGTGTCAGGAGAGGTCCTGACTGGTTGGGAGGTGAGTAGTTGGGACAGGCTCCTCTGGGGAGGAGTGGTAATGAAGCTAGAATCTAAAGGAAGAGTAGGTAAGAAGGGGAATGATGTCCATGTGAGGGAACAGCAGGTACGAAGTCCCTGTGGTAGGAGGATCCTGACCATCACAAGGGAGTGAAGAAAGGGCAGTGAGCCTGGAGCCTGAAGAACTGGAGGGATGAGAAGGGGAAGGTGGAGCCCTGTGAGCCCACACAGTGAAGATCGGGGGGTTCGTTCTGCAATCCATGGGGAAGCACTGTGGTGCCGACATGCTGAGACCTCCGTGTAGAAGATTCCCTCCTACTGTGGAGTGGGCAGCGGGCTGATGGACCCCAAGCCGTTGGGGGAGCCACTCAGTAGGCACCTGCAGGTTCCAGACACAGGTGACGGCAGCTTGGACTGGACTGCCCCCGATGAGGAAGAGCAGATTCAGGAGGTGATGAGGGTCCAGATCAGGCTGTTCCCGCGCTGGATGGAGTGGGGTTGAGGACCCGGGAGGCCCGCAGGAGGACTTCATGGCTTCCTGCTTGTGCGACCAAGGGCTGGGCGTCCTGGAAGGCTGTGTCCACTGGAGGTGGGAAATGGGGACTGGGCTGGAGAGCAATCAGAGGGGGCGGCCCTTGGGGCTGAGAGTCTCCCCGGCCCCCTCTCATCTTGACTTGCCTCCTCAGGAGTTTGAATTCGTCCCCAAAGCTGCAAAGTCACCAGGTTCAAGGGGACCTGAAAGGCTGGTGTCCTCAGCTCCAGGCTGGTGTAGCTGGGCGTACATTTAGGCTTGGCGAGGGTCAGAGTTGACCTCTGTCTGGGAGAAGCTGCATTGCTAAGTGTTTATTTATAGGCAGGTAATTTTTTCACATTGTATAAAATGAATCTGACAATGTTGGCCTTGGGTTGCAAAGCAGCTAGACGTGCACCCATAGCGGGGTCCCTTTCTCCTGGTTTAACTCCATCTGTGTAGCCCAGAGCTAGATTTCTCAGTTAACGGTTGTAACTGAGCAAGTTCACCCGCGTGCAGCTTGGTTGGTACTTGAGGACACAAGTTGAAGGAGTGACTCACAGCTTGTTAGCCAGGTCTTCGTCAGGGCATCTTCTTTTGCTAGCAGTTCTTCATCTCTCACATGGGAACTTTCAACTCAACTACTCTTCACTTAACCAAGCGTTGACATCTTAGAGAAGATGAACCAGTAAAGACATGCACTCAGTTTATTTATTCATTAACCCGAGAAGTGTTTGTAGAGCCCCTACTGTAAGAAAGGCCATGTAAAGCGAAGGAGCCCTGCCCTTGGAGTCGTGGATTCTGCTTCGTTATTTCCAGCAACGTGGTTCACTCAGCCTCCACTCTTGTTCCCCTCACCTGTGAATAAGGAGCCGGAACAGGCCGCTGGGTGCCTGTCTTGCTCGAGCATCAGTGAACTAATGATTCCCTCTCTCCTCTGGAATCGGGGAGAACGCAGTGTGGAGACAGGCAGCAGGGACTGAATCCACTAGCCCTCGCCACACAGCACAGGAGCCAAACCAGCTCCTGTGGTGTAAACCGCGCAGGTGCAATTTCCCCACACTGCCCCGCTGAGCGTGGAAACACAGCGCAGTTTCTCCACTGCTTACCCTCTCCTTGTCCCCACATCTTCTGACTTCCACTCTGTCCCTCGGTCCTTTGGCCACTGCCTGCTGACCTTGGCTGAGTTGACTTCCCTGGGACATGGCAGCCTGGGGTCTCCAGCTCCAGGTCCCCGCTGTCCTCTCCCACACACAGAGGAGGTGGCAGGAGAGTGCTGGGTGCTGGGCTCAGCGGGAGAAGGAGAGCTGATTTTACTGGGTGGGATTTGGCTGAACTCTACGAAGTACTTAAGACAGTTTGGATGCCAACTTGAGCAGATTCTTCACCTCACATACTGAATTCCCCCGCGGACGGTGATTCATCACGTTGTATTTAGAGATCAGATTTTATCAAACCTCTCTGAGGACTGATAGTTAAAGAAGAGGAATCAGTAGCTGGGAGACCAGAGAGCTTTCCCCGGCAGATCTTTGGGTGGGAGCCATTTTAAGTGTTCTGGAACAATCACAAGCCTAACAGCGTGGTGTGTGCCCTGAGCCACAGCACCGACTGTCTACGTTCATTCCAGGGTCTCAACGAGGATTCTGAGCTTTCTTCGTAAGTTGCCTTCAGCTTCACGCTGTGCTGGGGCTAGACCGTTCTAGTCCCTAATACGGGGATAGTGTAACCTCTCAATTATCCTGGAGCAGAGGGATTGGTTTGTGGGTCAGTCAGGAATCTGACTTCTCTTTTTCTTTATATTCTGAACTAAAAATCGAATGAAAGAGGCACCACATTTTTCCCAACAGATGCCCAACGTATATCAGCCAGTTCTCCCCCAGTAAATGTATATTTATTTATTCACTCAATAAATGTATATGACACCTACTATGCATAGGTTCTGTTTTCTGCGCATGGAGCTGAAGGGGAGATGGGTTTTTGTACTTGATGAGCTTTGTGTCAGACAGGTGGGATGAGGGACAGGTGGACAGCCCCGATGGAGAGGGACCAGAGCTAGGGGAAGCCGGCGGGCCGCAGGGTGCTCAGCAGAAGTTCTCTTGGTGTGTGAGGACACACTCCAGAGGCAGCCAGCTAAGCAGAGGACACCAGGCTCTGAGGTGGCGGTCAGGGTGTCTCAGAAAAGAGGGGCAATGCATTCCACAAGGTCTGCAGAAAATTTAAAACAGTAATAAAACTAATTAAAAGTTGGTCTTCTTTTTATCATCTTTTTAATTTTTCCAAATTCCACTAATGCTAAACAAGGTCAATGATAAATTTCCCCTCCTCCCAGAAAATTTGTTGGTCTAAATTCTAAACAATTGTGGCGGTCACTGTAGTGTTAGTAATGTACATGTGAGCTTCAGATCAGCACCTTGTAATTACTTATCCTTTGATAAGCATTGTGTTCTAGTGGAGGTTGATTTAGGGAATGCTCAGTTGCAGGGCAGGCCCCCGCCCACGCGGCCCCCAGCCCACGGGCTCCCACAGCAGGCTCACGACTCGGGGCGCTCAGCTCGCTCGTCTGCAGCTGCCAGAGCACACGCTCCCGCCATCACACAGCAGACCCAGGCGAACACCCAAGCTCGGGGACCACGGCGGGGAAGACAGCGGGTTCCGGTCCCTCGGACCCCTTCACTCTCCGTGACCACTGGGAGCCGTTGTGTTCAGAGTTTAAAACAGGGGAACAAAGTGGGAGCTGTCAGACGTGATATTTCTGTCTGGTAAGTGCAAAGTTTAGTTCATACACAAGATGTTTAGCTGATCTGAATAACATTTTTTTAAATTGGAGTTTCTTCTTTTTTTAATAGTTTGTTTTAAAACTAAAGAAAAAATAAAGAAAAACCGTTAGTATTGATTAGGACATGATTCCTTCTGAAGGTAATTTCATTGTACAGAGGTCTCAGGTGCT